GGGTTGAAGGATGCGAGTCAAATCATCTTATGATAGGGTTGAAGGATGCGAGTCAAATCATCTTATGATAGGGCTGAAAGATGACGCGTCAAATCATCTTGTGATACGGCTGCAATCATGCAGTGACAAAATACCAGCGCTCAGACGACCGACATCCATCCAATGCAATTTTTTCTCATTCTTTGGTCTGGTTGAATTGCAATATTAGTCAGTTCAGGTTCTTATACGACTGCCTGGGCTTACCAAGGATATTCTCCTAACTTGTTTACGGCACAGATTATTAAAATTCATGACCCTCCAATGTTGCTTCAAACAAGTGTTCAAGTGCAATCATCACTATAATTTACTGCAGCCTTGATAAAACTAAAGAAAACACAAAAGATCGGTGAATACTTCTACGTCAGGTAATTACACCAACTGAATATTCAGGAGTGCTTTGGGTCAACATATTTCTTTGTTCTTTTACCTGATTCCTGGCTACGGGTCGAAACAATTTTAACTAAAGGAACTCCGGGAGCCATGTAAATGTTGCTATTCCTCTATCAATGTTACTCTTGCGTTAGGTTACATGGATATCCGTCTAAAGCAAACGCTTGTAAACTGATGCACATACACAGACACCAGAAACCCACATGTACCGATGTATGTTACAGCTTCATGTAATAATGAACATTTTGTAGCAAGTCAATGTACCAGTAATATTCACAAGGTTCATACAGCACATACATAATTATGAACATGTGCATTCAAACTTTTTTTGCAAAGTACTCCCTATAATATGAAGCTGAAAAGAGCTTACACTTCTACAGTCCATCATTTGTTATTTGTACAGTATGTTCTTTGAGGCAGTAAAATTACTCAAAATCTGAAACAAGAATGCCTAAAACAAACTGATGAGGCTTCGGCTCAGTGAATATTGTAAATTCCGGTGGAAAAAAAAACAATATTCAAGGATTTTGATTTCAGATAAACAGTTGCTTAGTCATGTTTGAATTGCGCCTGAATTGAGTGTCTGAGATACGGTCTCACGTTCAGTCGAATGCAGCTACGGGATGTCACGCACTGATCAGACGAATTAACCACGCGCGCGTGTGATGTCAACGGTTGCGCACGCTACAAATGGCATTAGAGAGGTTTAGTTGCACGTTCTACCAGAACGCGACCGCGAAACAAGTGTGGACTCTTGCAGACGTCATTGTTTTGTGCGTATTGTCTCTCATGTACAGGTGATTTACACGGACGTCCAATACACGAAACATGGGAAGTTCACGTTGGATCGTTGGATCGCTTTCGGAAGGATTAAAATTAGGCACTGAACATTCGCTGACGTGAAATGGTCATTTTTGCACAGTGCAAAGGTTATGCAACTGGGATTTTTTCCTGCTTAGTTTATGATGACCGATTGCACTTCTTTTGAGAGATTTATTGGATGTGACTGATCATTTGTCCTTTTATTCGAGTGTTCATTGGAAGATTTACATTTTGTGCGGGACGCACATCTAAACGTTCAAACAGGCTTTTAACGCCCGCGCACCCGTGCGCAATAAAAAAAATTGTCGCCCTTGTGTTCGCGTTTACGTAATACGTGCATCTAAACCTCCCTATTATGTTCCAAAAATGCGTCATTAGACACAGTAATGAAAATGGACCCAAAATGACAGTTGCCAGAGATGAAATTTTGTCGTGTGTCCAGTACAAGGGCATTCAGGAAAAATTCAGTAAAACGGGTTAATATTTCCCATTATTTTGAAGAACATTGCCCAGGGGCCATGTGGATACTGAGGAAGTGAGAAAGATATTTTTAAAATGAGAAAGGTAAAAGATTATATGCACTTACCTGAAATCTGGACTGTCACATGAGTTACAGATGACTCCAGATTATTACAAAGAGCTGTTTTTGCAAATCTGAAAAAACGTTCACTATCCCTTTCGGTTCAGATGAGAGATCTCAGGTGAATGGAAAATCCTCTACTTCGCTGGACAGGAAGTTCCCGCGGCGAAGAAAAATGGTTGTCCAGAGTGTCTAATCTGCCTACAGCAGATCGTCATCCTCGTCTACATGTAACTGTTCCCTGACAGACGAATGGTAATCATACAAAATACATGTCAGACTGATAATAGGTGGGCGGAGCCTGTTGCCACAGTGTACGTTTCAATGATTGGTCAAAAGAGTAGGGACGGTTCCATTTGGAAGGGAGAAATCAGGTGTGACTGGCTTTTTACCTTTGGGGGACGATGGGGAGGAGGGATTGGTTTTCACTGTTTTTTTGTGTCAAGATTGAAGCATGAATGCTTGGTGAGAGGTCCAGCAATGACAAATTAAGTCAAAATATTGATTTTAAAACGTTAGAACAGATGGATCAAAGCAGAACCCTTTTTAATGACGATTGGCTTAATTCTGAATTTTACAAATGTTGAAAATTGGTGTGCTTTATTCTTACGCCATCGATGACAAGCTACAAAAAGAGAAAACGGTTGTGTGCAGTTCATTTCATGTAGCACTCATAGTTTTAAGAGAAATCAAGTGCGATTACTTTTCTCATCTGTCATTTTGAAAAAAGCTCCAATGTTTAGCTCCCGTCAAGAGCAATCATGTGATACAAAGTAAACAAACAAACAAACAAACAAACAAAATTGAACACCACTAAGGGCATTTAAACATAATTCTCCTCATCCTAGATTCGCTAACGATTACAGTAATTTTTCCTCTTAAATGGGCCCTTACAATTCGACGGTGTACACGAATATTTACTTAATATAATACAAAGATCAAAACCGAGGAAAACAGGTGCAGGTCCGTTCCCCGTTGTAATAATCCCTTCTCTGTATCCTAATCCTTTTCCAACGCATTTTGGCTTTCAAGGAGTAAGTTTCTTAGTTTTAATTCGGTCACTTAAAGCCAAAGAATACTAAAATGTCAACAATGCATCTGGTGCTTTAACTCTCCTTTAAGCTTTCTGATGTATATCTTGGGGAAACAAAGTATCTCAAGGAAACAATGAATATCAAAACGACAAAAGTCCTTCCAACTAAACTGATGAAACCTGTGGCCAACCCACGGCCGTGTCATCTCAGACTTCAGATGATTCATTCATGCGTGTTTGTTTTTTTGTTTCACACATGCTGAGGTAGTCTTGGTAACATGGCATCCAGCTCATTAATTATGCACTAGCACAAAGGTATCTTTTTCACCTCTTTATTTGCAGAAAAAAATGGGGCATAGTGGCCAAACTGCATCGTGCATAATCAAACATGGATAAAAACGGATTTGACAGCAAAAAGTTCCTCTTACAAGAAACTTTTTTTTCTAAATCAAGATCTGTCCTCCACAGAATAATGAAAAGGAAATGGCATCTTTCCTAACTAGCATTGATCCCAAAATTGTTAAGTGTCATTTATACAATAGTCTGCCATAACTGCAATTAACACCATGCATATATAATTTATAACGCATTAACCTAAATCCTCAGTGAAGCCCCATCACAGCCTAGTTATTCTTCGAAGGTACTGAAAGGAGCAGCTGCTCTGACACGTGAAAACAATCAACCACACCGTGGTTGAGGTGTTTTATCACAAAGTGAGGTTTTATCTCCATATTCATAACTCCAGACATCTGAGAAACCAATCACCAATTCATAACTTCACCAGTGACTCATGTTTAAGTGAAAATTAATACTAAGAAAACATGAATGCAGTGGGCAAATACAGTGATGACAGGCGGACCTTGAAAGACAGAAAACAAGTAGGTCTCTGCGATATTACAGCCCATAACTGTGTGGTCTGTCACCTTATCTTACCGAGCACTAAGGTGAAAATCTTCTCGTTACAAAAGCAGAAAAACTACATGTACTAACTCTGAATGTAACATTAGCCAATTTATGACAGAACTAAGAAAGATGTTCAGATCCGACCCTTAGAAAAATTTTGACCACTAAGGAAAGACTTTGTTTCTGATAGTATGACTGATTCTATGAAACTAAATTGAGATTAAAAGTCTCCAAAGCAACTCATAATATGTCAAAGTCTTTTATTAATCCTGGAGCACTCCTACAGTTTTTAACATCTAATGCTGAGAAACAAGGCAGGATCGGCAAAGACGGTACAGTCGATTGCCTTGGGAACACGGGACGATTATCATGACCAAAACTTGCTCGAATGTGGGTCTCATGTGAATATCACGTGAAGACTGATTTGCCCTGGCCCATACGACGAGGAGGTACAGTGTTAGATTACAAACTGTCAAGGACAATTGGCCTCGAATTCTGAGAGTGGAGGGAGGCCTTTTTTTCCCTTTTTGACAAGGAGGGGGCAGAACAATAAACAAACTGAGGGCAAGCATCAACCTGCGACCTCTGAAATATTAACAAATGCTCTACTATTACTTACACCTGTGTGGACCCTATAGTTTTCCCTGAAGATTAAATAAATACATTGACTTCTAGGTCATTTGTTTAACGAAACTGGTTCTGGTCTTGTGGAATAAAACTTAACATGTGTATAAAGGGTCCTATATTAACTCCTCTGCCTCCAATATCAATCTCCTCTCCTGCTCCTAACTTCACTCCGTTCACTTTCCTTAAAAACTTCCATGCCATCCGAAACTAAAAGGCTCTTTTAAAGCAGAGGAACAATCTCTGCCAAAATGACAAACTCCGAATTCAATTTTTCAAACTTTAAGCCATATTCAAAATCACCCTGTAAATCTCAGGATTCATTCAGCAAAAACACTATGTGACCTCATTTTACGGCAGAACTCTCGAAAACGAAGCGAGTATCTGCAGGCCACTGCACTGCACTCGACATGCATATTGGGTCTCCCCCGCTGCTGTGTTTCAACAAATCAAGCGAAACACAGACTTCACCACAAACTAATAAGGACAGGAGAAGAAACGGTTAGGGCAGATCAAGTCAAATTAACACCGTCAAAATGGCGCATACGATCAGTTATTAGGCTTTTGAATTTCCACATGAGCAAAGAAAGATGAAAGGAAATATTTGCCCAAACAGAGGAACTGTTGGATGTTTATTGGGCAGTTATCATTGCTTCGTATAAAATTTTTTCCCTTTTCAAAAGGGATATCTCATTGTGCTTGAATCTATTTCCAATTTTCATTCTTTACATTCTCTGGTTGATCGATCATACAATATCCACGCATTACTGTCAGGGTTGACAAGATCTGATGTGAAATGTTCTGATAACCTTAAATGTCACTGTGATTATGAAATGATCACGAGAGAAGGTAGAACCGGGGGACCGTTTCTAAATTCCAGTGGAAAGGTAAGAGCAATGCTGTAAATCATTTAACACATTGACCAATTCTTGTATAAACAGATATGAACACGGCCCAACCATACGTGAAGGACAAACCTAACGGTTCGGTTACTGCAGAAATGATTGGAAATGCTGATGTTGACCTCCAGGACTAACGATTCAAGAATACAGTCCATAATCAATGGATTATCTGGTAATGTCTACGTCCCCGCCCCCATCGTATCGAAATCTGTGAGGGAGATCAGATATTCTAAAATCCCTGGACTGGATTGCGCTAAATGTAAACAATACCACCACTTGTGGACCGCCTTGGCCACGGTAGTCGCATATATTCCTAGGGGCAGCTTCAACCGCGTGCGAGCGCATATGCGAATGCTGCATGCTTGATTAGTTTATCTTGAATAAGTAGATTACCATAACAACACATCGCGGTCCAGCACGATTGTGACATCACAGGAGAAAGGTCTATATAGGTGTGTTTTGGAGGTCAGCGCTTGGACAGTGACTAAAGGTATTGATGTTTCTCGCAATTAGCTTGTCATAACGATAACCTTATGATTATAGCTTTCTGTCTACTCCACTCCATTCACGATGCTACATACATTACCGCTTCATCTCACTGACTCTGACAGGCAGTCTGGCTTCTGAATCGCTATTATACCTTCATTACCAAGTAACTGAATTTTATACATATTCATTTCTCGTATCGAATGGCAGAATTGGAACATGGATAACAGAGACCGGAGGCGGGAAAATGCTAATGCGTCAGTCTGATCATTTTGAATGGGTCTGTGTTGTGAAGACTAACAGGACATTCCCTAACATCAACATGTACAAGGACACGTTGTCCACATCATAGTCACGCATTTGCTCACTATCAGCCTGGGTTGAAATTGCACCGACTTCTGCAGTGCCATACAGCGCCTATCCTTGACTAATGAAAACAAAAACAAGTCCATTATACGAAACACCGCAATCCACTGAATTTAATGCACCATTTCACTTCAGACACGTAAGAACACCAAAGAAAATGCACTGAAATTGACTCTTCTCAAAAAAGCCGCAGTCTCGCCATGAATGATTCACAACTTAATTATCAACCGTGTCCTATTTCCTTTCAAGATTCTACGCGTACAAGTGGTGGTGTCCATTTCAAATTGATTTATATGTTAATACTAAAGCAGAACTGAAAAACAACTTGACCTGTTGAAAAGAGCGTCTTCCAAAGCTCGGACAACGAACTAAGCAACCGGATACGATCAAATGTCGTCTTATTTTCAACATTTAAGAGAATATCCACGAAAATCATGAATGTGAACGTGCAACTTTTAATAAAGTTAATATTTACATCGTGGAAGCCTCCATATTCTCCACCCAAAAATAAAACGAACCGAACATTTTTTTGTTTAAATAAATATCTCAAATGACCCTTCAAGACTTGTTTTAGAAAAAAGCAAAAACATGTATATGGAAGCATCCGCAACGATGACAGGAAACATTTTGGAGTTTTAAACTGACAACTTCATGTCTACTTGATAAATTTATTTATCAGTCAATAAGCTTTAACAATATAGATCTGACATTACCGTCTATAGAGCATCAAGGCCACAGTGCCATCGCTGATTAATTATAGAAGGATACAGAGTGGACAAAATCTGATATACGCAAGAAAAACAAAATGCTTTCACCCGAAAAAAGAAACTTGTCGGTTGACTTTCAGTCATCACTTCTGGCATTTCAGCTGTTTTGAGCACACATTAACAGAAACACATTCACAATGAAAATCATAATTTTCGTGGA